AGTGAGAAAATGTTTCTGTAAATTCATAGATATTCAGTAAAAATCTACTAGATTTCTCTTGTTAAATGAAGCTCAGTCACCTTCAAGTTCTAAAGAATTCATCCAGTTAGGGCATATTAAGCATCTCATATTGACTGAAGTCAGCCTATCTTATTTTGCTTTATTTGATACAGCAGTACTGAGTTCTGCGTCTGAATATAATGTTTGATTTACTGGTACAAAGTGGTACGGTTTTCACTTTGTCTTTTCTTCCCAAACTAAAACCAACCTATGCACCCATCTTTTCCCACTACCTTTGGTGGGAGTTGCCAGTCTTATATATCATTCCACATACAATGTACAATACCTGGTACCTCACGATTTTGATTTAGCCTTGTTCCTGCAGACTATTTCTTTCCTTATGACTTATGCCCTTCTCCTCTCATGCCATAGTTTGATAATTTCTAGCTTGTTAAACCATGTTTCCCATGATAGGTAACTGTGGATTTAATAACCCATACAAACCATAATCAAACGTTGGTTTGGTCTTCCAGTTTATAGGAATCATTCACACGACAGGATCCCAGTGTGGACTACAAGAAACATGGATTTTGCAAACCAGGAAATATTATATGAAGACACAAGAGGGAAGAGAATTGCAGAAAGTGGAGGCAGAAGTATACGTCTACCTAGTTCATTCCTAGTCGAGTGATTTATTTGATGAAACACTGTTCTTAGGTCTGAGTTTCCCCTTTATATTCTCCTGGTGTACTGCAGATATTTTGGAATAAAAAGCCACCATTCCTGACCGTAGGCCATGCTGACTGGGGCTGATCGGAACTCAAGTTAAAAGCATAGGTCCCAGGCTGGGGAGGAATTTAAACTATGAAAATATATAAAGCACTTTCTCTTTTCACAAATGAATGACAACTGCCAATAGGAATTATACAGGAAGTTGCTTTATATAAGATAAGAAAATGTGTCCATCGATCCTGCTACTCTCTGTTCTGACTGGCAACAACTTCAGGGTCTTAGGTACCTAATATCTAATCCTTCTTTAAGAAATAAAGATGCCATATAGATTACCTGGAACCTTCCAAATGCAAGGTACATGGTATACCACTGAATTATAATCCATCCTTAAGAGACGGAGAAAAACTGCTTGGACAATTTACATAATATGACTTGGATGATTACAGGAGCAAACATACCATCTCCAGATCCTTTCCACCTTTGTTTCCCTTCTTTCCCAAATTTTTTCTTCTCTTTGCGCCTCTGTCGGAGGGCAGTTTTAGGATCAGTAATCCATGCCTGATAAACAAACTAGAGGGAACAAACCAATTTATTCAAGTTCTTGAGTAAGTAAATGTTAAATCAAACAATGAAAAGATTTTAGATTTGAAAAAATATGTTTCCATCTGGGAGATTAGGAAAAACATTCTCAATTCCAAACTTTATATCAAATAAAGTTTGTGATTTGTTTTAGTGTTTAGCTTTTGTTTGCTTAACAAACTAAAACATGTGAAATGAGCTGTGGAGTCTTATGAGTTTCATAGGGTTCCACAAAGACTATGTTCTGATCGCTGGGGATAAAAATATTGTTTATATATGAACCGTTTCCTGAAAGTAGCTTCAAGTGATCATCAGTGTTCCAAATATAGTATGAGGTTTCTGTTTAATCTAATATTTATAAGCCACCTGTAAAAGCATTGGCTGACCAGATATTTTCACACAGAAATGCAACAGCCACACATTATGCATTTCTCAATGCCACAACCGCACATTATGCATTTATTCTCCAGGACATAAAGCTTTCAATAAAAAAATAAAAATAAAAATGTAAGTACTGTGTGATATCAGTTTGCGACAAAAGATGTTTGCTTTTGTCTGCATGATTTTCATTACACAATAAAAATCATTTTCAGTTAGCATTGCATCACCAACAAAAGCAATTAGCTACAGCCAATAACAATCAAGCATATACATGCAAAGGGAAGAGAATGAGAAAACGAACCGAATAGTTAACACTATCAAACACCAGCATGTATAAACTGTCTCAGGGAAGCTGGAATAGCCCATAACATTGGTAAGAAAATGGTAAATGCTGCTTTATTTATTGTAGTTCTCACGTACAGAATCCTCTTAAATCCACATCTGTCTTAGAAATGTTAAGGACATAAAAATAGACCACCTGATTTTGATCTGTGAACATGGTGAATTACTAATGCTGAAGGAAATGGGAAGTGGATATCTGCTTCCTGTTTTTTTTCCAGATCATTAAATTAGTTTATGGTAATAATGAATGCAGAATGCATTAGCAGCAATCCTATTTAAGCTTAGACAGAGAAAAGTAAATTTTGTTACTAAGATTCTGGGATTTTTGTTGATCCAAATGGTTTTAATGATGAATAGTTACAACCTTTAATTAAAGTATTGAATAAGATACTAACATGTAAATGGGATGTGAACAGTTATAGAGGATCTAAAATTATTTACAGTTTTGTTCATATCGAAGGTATATTGCATATGATCCATTGTGCCAATATTGCTAAAAGGTGTCTTAAGACAAATTGATGGATTATTGATGCCCAAACAATGATGCACAAAAAAATGAATTCTGAAAAGAAAGTATGCTTAGTTATGCTATTTAAAGGGTTCACCAGCTTTCTGAGAAAGATTACCATGCAGAGTGAAATCCTCCTCATCTCAGCCATTTAAATAGGGTCAGGATTTTCCTCTATCTAAAACACATGCAATCTGATGGAACCCTCTAAACATAGTTTAGGCAGAAATCCCAAGATTAAACCAAGATGTGTCTCTGCATTTTCTCTCTGGGGTCAATGATCAGTTGAATGAGAATGATAATTCTTCTCATGATTCTGCTTATTAAGTGCTACACAAAGCAAATCCTTGGCTGTCAAAAGTACTCACTAATTGATTATTAAGAGGGAAAATGCAGAAAAGGGATACCCTATGCCAGGAGAGTATGGGATGAGATCATATTCTACACATTATGGAACATCAAATACCTTTGCAGCTCTGATTAAATACTGAAGAATAGTTTTGGGCAGTTTAATAATAGACTTTGGCAAGGCTAAAATGGCTGAAGCAAATTTCGCAATAGCTCTCTATAAAGAAGGATAAAGCAAGAAAAATTAGTGAATACATAACTACTACTGTTATGAGAAATATATTGAAAACTATTAGATTATAGGCTTCACATTAATTTAAAACAGGCTAAAATGTGAACTGTCAGTATTCAATTTAGGAGTGCATTTAAATTAGTAAGAGAATGCTTACATAAAGGTTATTTAATTACACATGGATCATTCACATATTAGTACAATGATTAGATGAATGCATTCAAAGTGAAAGTTAATCTTTAGTATATGACAGATACTAATAATTACCAATTCTCTCCCTGTCCCTATTGTGATCTTTACGAAAGCCGATGTATGCTTTCTTTTGCTCACTCTTTCATATATACACTTAAAAATAATTTGTCATTCACTAACAAATATATATGCTGCAAAACACTGGAGAGCATAAAAAGGCTAAAAGTCTAGACTTCACTACTGAAGATTTCAGGATGGAAAACATAAGCTAAGGAGATCTTACAGATCTTTTTAAGATCTAAAATATAGGCTATTTTCAACCCATGAACTGATACCTATTGCAGAATAAGAATATATAGACTAAACCCAAAAGTTTGTACAGAAACCTATTTTTAAATAGACTTCATTTGCCATTGACCATGTATATCATTCCATGCTAAGATCAATAATTGAATAATCTTGAACATAAAAGGAGAATTAGAGTTGTTGGAAATGTGGTGCATCTGTACATTTTTCTGCGCATTTATGTGGATGCTCTGCAAAGAATGAAGCTGCAATCTCAAATTGTAGCCCTGTAGATGTAACCAATGTATTGGGCTGGTTCTAGATTTAGTCATAGTTACAGAAGACCTGTGGTAACCTATGGGATATAGGTTAGTCATGACTAATGTATGTCCCATCGATTTCAGTGAGTCTACCATAACTGTGCCCATGCCTAGATCCAACCCATTATCAGATATTGCAGATGCAGATGCTTTCCGAATTCAGAGAGCTTCATCTTTACTTGGGCTCTGGCTACAGATATCTTCAGTAACAGGCCGATCTTCTTACCCTCATACTTACTGACAGACAGCTGCATCATTAAGAGAGATCCAGTGTGGATCATCTACCGTGACCTAACTGTTCATGTATGGATGCTTATGGGGAGCTATAGGAGCACAAGAATGGAGATATGCATGCAGGTTGCTAGATGCTATATACTAATGGCTTAACTTTCTTCAACCTATGACATAAATATGCTTTAATTAGGTCATGTTTCCTGCCTGATTCCTGCCATGAAGTAAAAACAACTCATTGAAACTAAATTTACATATTACAAACCTGTTTTATTACTGTATTTTAAAGAATTCAGAATTGTCCTTTTCTTCTTAAACAGAAAACATTTAAGCAATACCAAGCAATGCCCATGGAAAGATGTTTTATTCACTTGTTTCCAATGCAACATCAGAAAAATAGAGTTCAGGATATGAAACTTTATTTTTTAGAAAAAATGCTGCATGTGCAAGTGAATTAAAATCCATCTCTGGTGTCATACTTGCACCACAGAAATGTGACAACAATATAAGCAAGCAATAATTATGTGTCAATTAGCACAGGTTCTCATACTTTGTAGTACAGACAATTCAAGCCTTCAGTTCGGGCCATCAGAACACGTAAGTAAGCACACTACCTGAAACGCTGATCTTCTGGGTGGTTCGTCTTCATCTCTTTTTTCCTCCTCTTCCTCTTCCTCACTGTCCGTCTCAAACAAATAATAATCTCCACTTCTGACCACTAAGCAAAATAAAATACTTTTTTTATTTCTTGCAGTGGGGAGTGGGAATTATTCATAAGCTCTCTCCTGAGCCACAAAAAACATGCTATGATCGTGGGACTCAATGGCTGGTTAGGTGGAAGTGGAATGAAAGAAAGAGAGATGAATAGAATCAGTGGCAGATGAATAATTTGGTTGTGATGTTTGTAGGCACAAAGAAGAAGTGTTTGTTACAGGAAATATACAGCACTATCAGAAGAACATGAACTGATAAGATGCAAATGAGTTGAAAAGGTATTAAAAACCTGCAACATTCCTAACTTTTTTTAAATGATGCTTTCACTCTGTCAGTGAGTGAGGAGTCTTCGACTCCACTGGGTATCCAGGAGAAAGCTAAATTTAAAATTGTATCACTGGAAGGAAAAAAAGGAAAATGTAATTCTGCTAAAAGTGTGCATGCATTTGATAGCATTTAGTTTTATTTTACTTTATTCTTCAGGTGTAAAACCAAGAAAATATGAAACAATTTCTTGCTTAAAATGAGTTTTATGTAAAGTAATTCATATGATAATGTACTAAAAATTAATTTTTGCCTGTATATTTAAAAAGTTCAGAGGCCTCCATATGTTCAAGATGTGATGTGAATGAACTGGACCTTATATCCTTGAACAGAAGCAGATTTTTAAAAAACATTTCAAATAAGCTAATAGGTCTAAATTGATCAAACAAGGAAACAAAGGAAAACTAAAATAATAAGCAAGAGTCAAAATCAAAGTCACAGCACTACATTTGTTCATAAAGACTATTAGCATAATATCTGCAAGTAAAGTAAAATACCTTAATATACTACTAATAATAATTATAATGATGATAATAGTAATAAACGTACAGAGCCATAGATAGAATGACATTCAAGAACACATTTAACCCTCATTATACAGCTTTATGAACCATAAAAATAACAGAAAGTCTCATTCAATCATACCTCATCCTTTATTTTAGTTTACTCATCTACTTAAGTCACTTTCTTATTAGCACCATGTCCTGAACTAGAGATAAACTGATTCTAGGAACTCTCCTCTCCATCTCACTAATGCTATAGAAATATTACGGAAAGTAATGAAAATTGCCAGTACTTAAGAGGAAAAATTGCCCCAGTTGTATATCACATATATGGGTGTTCGTAAGCTGACACCCAATCTTGCTCTGGTATAAGCAGTAATGCCAATATAACTTAAGAATCCATGCTAAAATATTAATCCTGTTGATACTGTAATTTTTTCCTCCTTGATTTTCAGACAGCAAAAAAACGGCACTGTGGATGTTACATTCCAGTAAGTATTTCACTCTCATTCTGCAAGCCTATCCATTCTCAGTCTCTGCCGAGAACATCTCTACAAGTGGAGCGTGTCAGGACTGTAGCTCAGTGGGCACAGCATCATCTTATGTTTGAATTCCAAACATCCCCAGTCCAATGCCAGACATCTCCATGCAAGGCTGAAAAGCTCCTGCCTGAACTTTGGAGAGCTACTGCAAGTTAAAGTTGACAAGACTGGCCTTGATGGATCAGAAGCTTGTCTTGGTAAAGGTAGCTTCCCATGTGATACTTGTTTTCTACTCTTTAGATATAACCAGCTGCTCTTTATGACACAGTCAAATTAGGCCCTGTGGTTTCACCAGACAGCTGTAAACCTAACACCAACAGCCATCTTATGTTCTTTTGTGTCTAGCAGTGTCCAAACAGCATCACTAAGGAAGACACCAAAACCAAATTAATAATTGAATATAATACTCATCTAAACTAAATTACTTCAACCCATTTATTTTTGCAGGCACTCTTCACTGGCAGGCTGTGGCTTAGAGGACTGGATTAATGCTCTCTGTTAGAAGGGATGTTTTCATTAGGTATTATCAATAAGCCAAGCTGCATACACCTTGCACTGCAAAAGGTTCATACTCAATTGTTGGGTCATGAGAGCAGATAGCACTGCATTTCACATTATGTATCTTTATATATAAAATAAGGGTATGATTAAACTGCAATAATGCACCCTTGCAAGCACACAGTACTGTAATGGCAAAGTATGATTCAACTGAAAAATGCAGTCCATTTTCTTTTCAGTTGGATCATATTTCTTTACCTATAGATCACCCTTGGTCCAAGACAAAGTGTTCCACATATCAGTTTTACTTGTTTCATCAGAATGAGGAAAGTACAATGGGATGAAACCGTGGTGTGACTGATTCTTGCAGTTCTTTCAGTGACTATCAGGGAACAGTTGAATGCATCCTTCTCAGGCCATGCCTTCTCCAGCAGCAGAAAAGCCTTGATGTCACAGTGTCAACATATCAATAAAATATAATTTCATTTATGGTGCAAAGAGAATGCACTTCTTATTCAGATATGACAGTATAATATATCTCAAGTACTAGAAACTCAATTTTCTAAAATATTTAGAAATAGCTGGAAAAGTCACTTAGCAGATTCAGATATAAAAACCTGCTGTCCCAAACTTACAAGCGATTAGTTTGGAATAATAATAGTGAATATTAATAGTCTTCCATGCTTGCTGTCACAAGAATATGCATTATTGCAATAACGCATGCTGTGTACTGGTTTCTTAAAACATATAATGAGGGTGAAATGAATCCAAAATACTGAATTTAACTGAAATAATGTAACAAAAGTTGCATGGATGCAGATCTGTCTCACACAGTGGACTACAGCAGAAAGTTGAGAAATTGTACCATTCTCTTGCTTCTCTGCTGGGAACCCACAAACCACTGTCAAGACACCTCAGGATCCTGACAACCTTTGTGTCATTCTCATCTCCTGAATGTCAACAATTCTTCTGCAGCCACAAAACAAATAAGGATTAACAGAGACCATATCCAGGTCTATTCTGAACAGCTACAATCTTGAAACATGTTACAAACAGTGATTTCATTTGGAAGCTAAAACAATTTGTCCTCACTGTGTGTTCACAAAAAGGATAGGTCTCTATAAATTGTCATCAAGCCCTTACATATAGGCATAGTTTACTTGTGACTTGACAGAAAAGGACATTCAAAATGCTGGGCAAACCTGTTGGATAGATACCCCTGTTGTAGCACATGGCAGCACAGGTGTGGATATACATAAAATAAGTGGAAGAGCACATGTTATATGAAGTAGTATGCAATCAATCAATCAATCAATCAATAAATGCAAAATATTTAAAAAAGGTTAAAAATGTACAGATTCTGCACTTCATACTGTGTGGACTGGAATTAATACTGCAATCCTACGGTCCCTAGAAAGTATCTAGAGGGCCCTGAGCATCTGGGTTCTAGCACTGGTCCCAGCTGCAACCACTAAGTGACTGGGTTTCCTCCCCCATCCAGAGTGAAAAGAACAGCCCTGGCTTCTGTGAGCTTTCAAAAGTGACCCCAGAGAAGAAGTTTGGACAAGGACAGAATAGCCAAGATACCAAACAGCCCTGCAACACCTCAATCATCTTCTGTCCCATTCCAAAGCACTGCAGTTAGCCGAGATGAGCTGCCTAAAATGCTATGCAGCTCCCGCCCTGCACAGGATCTGGAGCGTCACAGACATTACCATGGGATGGCACCCTAAATTCTCTTGTATGCTATGCCCATCTTCTTAAGACTCTTATGCAATAACAACAATTTAGATGGAATGTGAATTAAGATAATGCCAATCATTAATTGTGAAAGTGTTGGCAAGTACTCTAATTCGGAGCAGTTTTAGAACACATTCATATGGTCTCTAGATAACCATGCAGGAACTGTAGGATTTAGGGAAAAAAGAAAAGAAAGAAAAAAGCCTGTAAGGCTATAGACAGAGCTATAGGCATTTTTAAAAGATTCATAAAATAAATAACTTTATATTTCCTCCAAGCTATGCAGAGACATGTAGAAGTTCTGAAACTGAGCATTTTGAGGGGTTGAAGAACTGTGGCGGCAGATTAGGTCTTTTCAAATATTGCTCATGCACTTAGACTAGCTCTTCCACGAAATGAAACCAGGGGAGTCAAACAGATCATATACTGGGAAGTTTTTCATTATAGCACTTACTGTGAACAGGCCATCCACATGCAGCTCTCTTTTAGACGGATATCCTCTGTACTAGTTTTCTGTCATATGTTAATTATTTGGTTCAGTCAACTAATAGTGGAAGTTACCATAAAAGTACTCCTTCTTGTTTTCACTTCGTATCACAGATTGGATGTGCACCCAAATAACTATCAAGTCACAACTATAAAACCATGCATAAAAACAAACAGGTCTTTGGGAAGCCTCCATTCTGGTCAAGGATATAAGGGTTAAATTCATGTATTTCAAAGAGGATTGAGAAACCTACTGGAAGCATGATCAACCCAAGGCCGCCACCACTGCTTTTTTTTGCCCTTGGTTTTCTCTTTGTCTGCTTCTCCTAAAATGAAAAACATGTTACTACTAATATCTACTTGCTCCAATAAGAATAGGAACAAGAATAGCTCTGATTCTAATATACTCCAAGAACCCTCCCCAAAATACATTTGTTTATTCTTTTTTGTTAATGAGCCTATTAACTGATTAGGATCAATATCATGTATAATTAAAATAGAACTTCACTTCCAATTAACTATATTTACAGGAACAATAACTTTTATAAAGGGTCATGCATAAACAATGGCTGCTATTTCTTCTTTTCTGAATCAGATGTATTTTGATATGCATTACAATCCTTATCCCATACTGATATAATAAACTTAAATGGACAAAATTAAATATAAAGGCTTTAGTGACATATGGTGCAATATAATTTGTTGCAGTGGGAAAATTGGGCAAAAAGAAAGAAAAAACCACAATCCTGTAACATATTTTGGGGGGAAATAATTTCAGCAGTGATAGTGAAATTAAATTTTGAAAAATGTTTGATATAAATTATAAATATAAATTTGAAAAAATTAAAAACAACTATTACCAAAACTCCAAAGTTAAGAATGATTGTACTCAAAAGCAATTTGAATGTATTTTATCAGAGATTCTCAAATATAATCAGTTATTTCATTTTTTGCATCAAATTAAAGTTACAGACAACATTCTGAAAATGTCTGCTATTCTGAAAATGTCCTTGAATGCAAGCTTCCTTCTAACAATTCTGTTAACTCAGCATAACCTGTGGACTTCACTCCAGTGAAGGGGACAACCATCTTCTATGTAAAGGGCTAACTATTCAGGCTGTTTCTCCACTGCAGTGAAGGGGAACCGGAAGGACACTCTATAGGTGCACTGAGACCCAAACCTTTACACACGTATTTGGGAGTAAATCCCACAGAACACAGGTGGATTTACTTTTGAATAAATATGCAGAGGATCAGGCCATGAAGACTCTCCAGCAAATGTGGGGACACACAGTATTTTCCTACATGCTTTCATGTGAGTATTATCAAGGTCCAAGCAATAAATACCAACGCCGGATATATTGAAGGCATAGTACCATCATCATCATCATCATCTTCGGCAGCCTTTTGAATTTCTTGCCCATCTGAGGCTTCTTGGTTCATGCTCATCACCCTTTCTTTACCCTTTTTATATTTTTGTTGCCTGGCTTTGATACGATCCATTCTGCCAAAGGAGATTTTTCACTGTCAGAGTCACACACACATGAGTTTCAAGTCATTCAATAGCATTCTTAATAATCAGAGGACTTTACAGAGAAAGTTCACAGTGTATGTACAATGGACCTGTGTACGCCTAACCTTTTTCACCCTGAAATGACATCCCAGAAGGGCAGCAACATTCCCTTTTGTCAAGCCATAGTTTAGCAAACTGGAATGAATGTTGGGACTGGACACTCCCACCCTTTTCCTTCTTTTGCCCACCTGCTAATCCTTTCTAATTCCCTGAAATGTGAACTTGTCAGTCAACATCAGTTCCCTAACCAGGATCTTAAACCATTTTCTAAAATATGATTTAAATAGGCTGGGAATATTATGCCTGGTTGGGCCACTATACTGAATATATGTACATCTATTATGTAGCGTTCAAATACTTCTGGGAATGCTAAACAAATGGTGTTGTATTCCAAGCAGATAGAAAGCAAACACCTAAGCCCTGACAAAAGTTATGGCTAATATAATTGAAATGTCAAGAGAGAAGGAGAAATAAAGGCATACTGTCTCTTCAGCTGATCCATTGATTTTTTTTCTTCCTCAATTCTTGCTTTTACAGCCTTCACAATTGTGGCCTGGAAAAGTTCAGCACCCCTGTAGAATAAAAGGAAACCTGAATATTTATGAACTGTCTTTGTTCCTGGCACTAAGAATGATTTTTAAAACACAGCGGCAGCCTATAGAGATTCCAGTGGGATAATAATGACAGTGGTTATTGCCCAGATCTTAAATCAATAAGAGGCAAACTGGTTCTGAATGGCCATCCACCCAGCCTTTATTGGCCAAATGGCATTAGGAGATGTAGTCACATTATTCAGTGCAGGTGTAAGAGTTCTGCCTGTATAGTATATATAGTGCTGGATCTGCAATTGATAAACTTAAGTCCTATTGATTTTACTTGGCCTATTCTAAGGGTGCTTCCAGGTGGTAGACTCGGATGCTTCCAATCAAAAGATACTGTGCAACTATTCAATTTTTCCTCAACAAATCTTTTGCAGAGAGAAAAAAGTCAGAAGAAGTGACAGAAAAACATCGTTACAAGAGGATGACACCACAATCCCCCACAAAACCTGTGAATTAAGCAGAGTGATTGCAGAATAAAAGTATTCTCTTGAAGCATGGCTCAGTATGATTCACCCTGGATCCATGCCATAATTTTCTTGATATTCCTTTGATGAATCAGGGATACTTCTAAGGAGCACATTAAAACCATTATGGAATCTATTTAAAAAAAACACACCCAAAATCTAAGGATCTTTTTGATCAGTTTTTTTGTTTTCTAAATCTGTGATTAATCCTTCAACTAATGAACCGTACATCTCATCTCATGTTAAAGTTTTAACACTAACTGGTCATACAACATTTTACAAAATGCAGTTGTAGTTATAATGCATGAGTCTAAGTAACTGCTTATTTTCAATAAAATGCCACTGTGTACCTGGATGCCAAAATCTGCGATGCTTTAATATCTGCAACCACATGGAGGAAATAGTAACTCATGAAGACTCTTCTTTGCAGCAACAGGAAGGCAAAGCAAATGCTGTCCCAGATGATTCCAGCCTCCCCACTAGGTAATTTGCAGTCTATATCTTTATCTGAAGCTGTCAAGAATAAACAACATCCCACCCCCATGGTAAGTATTAATGTATTTGAAAACTGTAACACTTTGACACGGTGAAGGAAACAAGCGATTTAGAATCAATCTCTGTCCAATTTTAAGGTCAAAGCGGGCTCTAGAAAGAATTATCTTCTCTGTGTGCCTCCATGCTCCTATCTTATTTATTTATTTAAAATATTTATACCCCACCCTATATGCAAAAGCATCTCAGGGGGCCTTACAAAACCCAAAGCAAACAATCTGACAAATTAACAATAATTAAATAAACAGTTAAATATGCACATAAAACCAATAACATTTCACAAATGAAAGAAAATCAAAACAAAATCTAAATCAAGAATAAGAGCAAAATCAAAAACCAAAAAGTGACTGTGAAGTTAAAAACTGATTAAAATTCCTAACATTTAAAATGATGGGCAAATAAACAGGTTTTCACCTGGTGCCGAATAGAATATAAAGTCGGCACCAGGCAAACCTCTCTGGGGAGTGCATTCCATACTCTGGGCACCACCTCAGAAAAGGCCCTCCTCCGGGTAAGACCATCCTCTCTTCTTTCAGTGAGGGTTCCCAGAGTAAAGTCTCTCCTGCAGATCTTAAGGGGCATAGGGGCTTGTAGGCAAGAACACTATCCATTGTAGTTTCCAAGCAGTAAGTGATGGATACCAACATGAAGGCATTATTTCCTCTTAATTAATCTTTTGCGGACAGAAAAAAGGCAATTGGGTAATTCCACAGGGAGCCAAGTATAAGACAATATAATAGTCTCCTTCCTCTTCATCATTTTTACCATTTCTCTGTGATCCCTGGCTAAAAGCACCAACGGGGCAGAAGTTGTACTAAATGGTTCAGGATTTTTTAAATATGAAAAACACACAACAAAAACATACAAACATTAATGCAAGATGTAGAATGACAACTGCCAGTTACTTTCAAATTGCCATGGGAATAATGAGGAACAGGTTGCTGAAATAAGAACCTGGCATCATGAGAAATTGATCATAGCAGACCTAAGCTCAAAGCCTTCTGCTTCATGTTCACCACTACACAACATAATTCCTGACACTGTGAACTTCACTTTCAGAGGGCATCATCCACAATGGCAGCCTGTAGCTCTCCCAACTTGGAAGAGACATTCAATGGAAGGCTCAAGAAGAACGGAAGGAATGATTGTCACAGTACTCCCCACTGCCCTCCAAAAGATGGTGGATGAAGCTATCAAAACGTTTTCTCCCTTCCTGTAAGAAAAGGAGATACTGAGATACCAGGATTCTTCAGTGGATTGCTGGTGCCCCTTGCTGCCCCCGCAAATTCCCTGCTGCTGCATCCAAAGATCCTTGTGTATGCTAAGACCTTTTTATTCACCGGTCTTAACCTATTTAAGGTTAAAGGATGCTGTGCTTCATTTTATTCTGTTTTTATTGTAGACCATCCTGAGACTGTAGTAGTCCGACAATATATAAATGCTTTAAATGAATAAATAAATAAATTTGTTGTCTTGGAGCTCAGCCAGGATGGAAGGAACTCTGTTGATTGTGGGGACTGAGGGAGGGTCGCCTGAGGTTGGGTTCCAGCTGTAACCTCAGAGTGTTTTTTGGAGGGCAGAGCTGAGACTTTGAGCTATACTATGCCTCTTATTATGGATAGATAGGGTCACTATTGTGATATATACTATAACAGAGCTATCTTTCAGACAGAAGACATTTTCCATCAAATATTTAGCATTGTTAACAATGGACAGTATCCACTGGTACATTGCCACAAATGTGATTACACTGCAGTAATGTAAATGACCTTTAGGACAATGTCTACACCACTGCTGATTTACGGGGCTTCCAGAAAACCTGTCATGCCAGCAAGAACTGTGGGACTAGAATTAGCACGTGCTTCTGTTGCTGTTAGTCATGAAGTTGTGTCCGACCCATTGCGACCCCATGGACAACATTCCTCCAGGCCTTCCTGTCCTCCACCATCCCCCAGAGTCCACTTAAGCTCACACCAACTGCTTCAGTGACTCCACCTAGCCACCTCAGTCTCTGCTGCCCCCTTCTCCTTTTGCCATCTATTGTTCCCAGCATTAGGCTCTTCTCCAGGGAGTCCTTCCTTCTCATTAGGTGGCCAAAGTATTTGAGTTTCATCTTCAGTATCTGGCCTTCTAAAGAGCAGTGAGGGTTGATCTCCTCTAGGACTGACCGGTTTGATCACCTCGCAGTCCAAGGGACTGCCCTTCTTTGGGATCGGAATGTAAACTGGCCTTTTCCAATCCTGTGGCCACTGCTGAGTTTTCCAAGTTTGCTGGCATATTGAGTGTAGCACTTCTATGCATCATCTTTTAAGATTTTGAATAGCTTAGCTGGAATACTGTCACCTCCACTAGCTTTGTTGTTGCTCAGACTTCCTAAGGCCCATTTGACTTCACATTCCAGGATGTCTGGCTCGAGGTCAGTGACCACCCCATCGTGGTTCTCAGGGACGTTAAGCTCTTTCTTGTATAGTTCCTCTGTGTAATCTTGCCACCTCTTCTTAATCTGCCTCTGTTAGGTCCCTGCCATTTTGGTCCTTTATCATGCCCATCTTTGTATGAAACGTTCCCTTCATATCTCCAACTTTCTTGAAGAGATCTCTGGTCCTCCCTATTCTATTGTTTTCTTCTATTTCTTTGCACTGTTCATTTAAGAAGGCATTCTTATCGCTTCTAGCTATTCTCTGGAATTCTGCATTCAATTGGGTGCATCCTTCCTTTTCTCCCTTGCCTTTCGCTTCCCTTCTTTCCTCAGCTATTTGTAAAGCTTCCTCAGACAGCCATTTTACTCTCTTGCATTTCTTTTTCTTTGGGATGGTTTTAGTTGCTACCTCTTGTACAATGTTGCGAACCTTTTCCATAGTTCTTCAGGCACTCTATCTATCAGATCTAATTCCTTAAACCTATTTGTCACCTCTACTGTTAATTCATCAGGGATATGATTTAGGTCATACCTGAGTTGCCTAGTGCTTTCCCCTACTTTCTTCAATTTAAACCTACATTTTGCAACGAGAAGCTCATGATCTGAGCCACAGTCAGCTCCTGGTCTAGTTTTAACTGACTGTATAGAGCTTCTCCATCTTTGGCTGCAGAGCACATAGTCAATCTGATTTCTGTGTTGACCGTCTGGTGATGTCCATGTGTAGAGTCGTCTCTTGGGTTGTTGGAAAAGAGTGTTTGCTATGACCATCGTATTCTTTTGACAAAATTCTACCAGCCTGTGCCCTGCTTCATTTTGTATTCC